AGGAGAGAATACCCGACCTAGAGAATGTACCAGAACAGAGAAGTGTACTAAATGCCGCAATCGACTACGTTTTTGGTCTAGTATTTGTAAGAGCGTCTGCTTATCATGATCTCCCGGGTTTGAATCACGGGTCAGGCAAAAAAAACCAGTTATTATGTAGAAATTCTCAATTCTTAGCTAGGAGACAGAAAGATGACAGAGTTTCGAACGTAAATCGGAAAGCTCGTAAAGCCATTAGTTCTACGCCCAGTCTCTCTCAAGTCATGTCGGATTGCCGCCTCATCGGAGTAGAGGTAATAGTGGTAATAGAGAGTGCACCTGTGATTGCGCGTTCACTTGGACACTACAATACTGTTTATGTGCAGATTACTAGTCTACGTTGAGACAGGCCGCCGTGACAATAATTAGATCTAAAGGACATTATGTAATTAAAATAGACAGGAGACTGGTATCTACCCTGATCAACATCTAATTAGGGAGGAAATCCTAGTACTTGTGAATTGTTAATTTGTATAATTTGTCAATAATATACTTAATTTATACATTTCAAATGGAAATATCTTGTAAGAACTAGAATATTTTGTTATAAATGTGGTAGAGATGGCTCTACCACATTTATAAGCTGCAGCCATATTAGTAGTATAGTTGTAACACGAATGGGTCGGCAGTTTGCCACTGCTGTGTTTCGTATGGTGAGTGTAGAGAACCAGAGTCCCAGTGTGCAACCGGAGTGTACTGGAAAAGAGGCATTCCATCTTAGTCCTCACGGGTGACGACGCATCTGCATTTTGATTCTTTATTGGGGATAAAAATGTAGATGTCTATGACTCCCAGCAACCACTTACTATCAGGTGGATTGTGTGCTCGTTTGTCATCCTATCCTATAAAAAAACAATATAGTAGAGTCACAGTAGAGATATCGCGGTCGGTAAATGTGTTAGTAATTATAGCTCTAAGATCACGAGGCCTAGTGGTTTAAGTACCTGATAATACAGAGAGCGTCCTGAGTGTGTTTTTTTTAATACAAGTAATAAGCACCATCCATCTCATGGTAAGTGATGCATGCATGGCTCTACCACTTTTGTAAAAAAAAAACACGAAATTTTTGGTTTTGATTTCTGTATTTTCACTGTCTACATGTTTATCTGTGCCAAAATAAAGTATTTCTTTCTTTCATGTCTAAGGTTAAGATAGGATGATTGTGTGATTTTATTTTATGGAGTTGTACACAAGTGTGTAGTGTACACTGTTATTAACCAACGGAGCTGATGTTTTTCGGCAATATTAAAAAAGGAAGTATATGATTAAGAATGACTTATTTTTGATAATGGAATTATTGTTTTTATTTGAAGTCCCCGCCACAATTACATGCGTGGATAGCATGCTATTATCGTAAATATATTGCGTAGTATTACCACAAAGGTGTGCTAGTATCGGTTGCGACCATCAAAATAATGACTACACTAAAGCAAATACTTGAACGGATAAATCTACAAATTTAGTTCTTTCACAAACACCAGTAAGTAAGTACAAAGCAGAAATGCTGTAGATTGGTTGTTACCATTGTGTTCAATAAGACGGCATGCTATATATATATCTATACCATATTTTTATACAGAAAATAAAGTGAAAAAAGAACTTACAATTCACCTATTTTATATAAAACTTTTAGACGTGATGGAGCAACGCTGCAGCTATAATAGTTGTAGCACGATTGGGTCGGTTCTTGGTAGGGCCACGTTCTCACAGAATACCAGCGTAAAATAGCAGCTTAAGGCTGCTGTGTTTCGTATACTGAGTGTAGATTACCGGAGACCGTTTTTATTGGAAACGAGGCATTTCATCTGACTCCTCAGAGGTGACAACCATCTGCATTTTGATTCTTGATCGAGGATAAATGTAGATATCTATTGGCCACAGCGTCCACCTACCATCAGGTGAACTGTGAGCTCGTTTTAAATTATTCTAAAAAACCTGATGCTAAGTGGTTACTGCAAGTAAAGACGACCAGAAGCCAATTACAAACAAAGAAAGCTACAGAAGCGTTATAACTTCTGAGGACTAAGATAAAATGCCGTCTGCAATTATACTGGCGCTCTATATCCTTTAAACCAGTATACAACAGTGCAAACAATTCTATTTCGCGGCAGAAATAAGTAATAAAGTGGTATTTGCTATCTATTTACTAGTAATAAAACGGGTTCCATTACTTTCATACAATGACCCAACAGTAGATTTGACAATGCTTTGCGGCTTAAATAAGTAGGCAAGTGATTCCAATTAAGTCGATTTCTCGCTAGAAAGGGAATCATGCCATTCCTAAATAATTTTGAAATATATGAAATTAGGATTCTTGATAAAAATTTCGTCTATATAAATAGTTTCTTTTTTATGTGGTAGAGACAAATTGCAGCTGAATTATGGTTGTAGCATGAATGAGTCAGCCAGACGGGGTAAGGCCACGCTCTCACAGAATACCAGCATATAATAGCAGCTTAATTCTGCTATGTTTCGTATGGTGAGTGTAGAGGGCCGGAGAACCTTTTCACTGGAAACGAGGCATTCCATCTTAGTCCTCACGGCTGACAACGCATCAGCATTGCGTTTCTTAATTGAGGATAGATGTCTATGGACCACATTATCCACTTACCATCAGGTGGACTGTGTATTCGTTTGTCACCCTTATTCTATAAAGAAATACCATGTCATTATATCTGCAAAACTACAATTTTAACAAAATCGTAATATAATTATAATATCTAGTTGTGTTTGGTTAACAATTATAAAGTTAAGTAAACTCTAAAAATTACGAAGTTTACAATAGCAGATAATTACATATTATTACGTTATTTCTTTTCAAAATAGAAGTAAAAGTAAGGAAAAGGCATATTTTTTGTTGTCTATCACAAGCCTCTTGCATTCTGTACGAGTGTACCCGATGGTAAGTGGATGTTGTGGTATATAGACATCAACATCTTTCCTTGACTAAGAATTCAAAAGCAGATACGTTGTCACCCCTGATGACTAAAATGCCTCGTGTCCAGTTCTCTACACTCATCATTCGAAACGCTGCTGCATTATGTTGTTATTTAACGCTGGTATTCTGTGAGAGCGTGTTCCTTTGGCTGATCGAGCCAACCCATTCATGCTGTAACCATAGTATGTCTCTACTACGTTAAATTTTTTGCTTGCAAGTGCAAAGATTATCCCTTTAAATCATCTGAGAGATAAACCTAAAGAAAAAAAATAGTTTGGAACTAGGTACTTCATGAAGTTTTGGAAATTAATCTCTGTTATACAATGAATTAAGTAATTTTGTTTTGCTTTATACGGGCCTTTTGTTATTAAATATTGACAATAACAGTACACTTCAATGGACCTATAAGTCGAAGTTGATAATGTCTAGATATAAAATTATACAGACCTATGTAATTTCATCTCAGTGCATGAATAGCGGTCACTATTCTCGTAACGCTGGCAACGTGTTCGTGAGATGTATCTGTTTTATCAAGTTAGTATTTAAATAATATAAGGCTTTTGGACTTAACCTTAAGGCTTACATTAAAATAAACAAGAAAATTACAACCGCAGCAATAATTTTCCACACAGAGACAATAGAAAAGATAATTATAATCTACGAAATACAGTAGCAGAAACGTTTAAAATATAGTTGTAAAACATAATGGCGTAAACCGCTTGCCGTTACTTGGATTTCTATCATTCTCGACTCCGGTGGTATTAAAAATATAAAAAATGAATAGAAAACAATAGCAGCCTGCATGTTAATCACACGTATCCATCAAACACATGACCATGTAATAAAACAGGTAGCAAAGTCAAGCGCACCCTGCCTACCCAATTTATTCCACATCCGCTGTATTATATTACGTATTCTGTAAAAAAATGGAACTCACAAGGCGACTGGTTGTTCGATCAGTCGTTGGATGCGTCCGCACTCCAGTAGTCAGGTAGTTAACCCACAGAGTTTACAAACCAAAGGTCCGAACCGTAAAATAAAGGCTCTTTGCAATTTTTTGTCACATTTCACAGTCCAACCGCAGTTAGTGGCACGAACAGGTGAATAGGAGATTAGTGGAAGCGCACACAACAATAGACGCACTGTACAGGCCATAAACAGTTAATAGACACTGTGGTTAAGAGAAAAAGTTATTACAGTGATGTATGAGCTATCATCGATGCACTTCGCTAAGAACGACACATTTACAACACTGTGTTCTCATGTGTACACTGAAATCCACTGATAAAGTTTTATACCAAATGTTTTTTATCACTGTTAATTGTAGGTTCGTAGAACGTCAAGATTGCGTATGCACATACGGCGAGCGCTTGGTGGGAGAGAAGCGCGCGTACTACTGCGCCTACGTCGTCGGAGGCAGTAGCGCTCCTGTACCCCCCGCATCTCTCCCCTTCAGTGAGCCTGCAACCGCCGCCGACACGCCAAAGCCTTCCATACTGTTTTTACTTTGGAAGCAATAAAAAAAGGGAAGGATATCGTTCGATTGTTTATTTTTCATGTTAGTAGCATATAAGTCGTGTAAATTGACGCCGCCCTCGAATGTTTAGATTGGGCATCATGAATTTCGTTCACAGTCACTAATCGAGAATAAAAGTTTATTTAAATGTTTACTAGGTTCAGAATTTTTTAATGAGCATTTAATGAAATATCTAAACTTGTCATAAAATGTGTTTTTTTTTAAACACGTGAATCAATTTTAGTTATCTTTTGACGTGTAGTGTAGTGTAAGAACTAAGAACATTCACTACTCCGTATCGTCCCGTATCGTAAGGTGTGGTAAGAGGGCGACAGTGGAAATGATCGTGGCAACTATGGCAAATATTTCCTCTGAGGCAACCTATGGTTATATATCTATATAATCTATATAATATCTATGTTCGGATTGACGAATCATTTGATGAAATAATAATTGTGAATAAAAAACAAAACGTCCAATATTCGTAAAGAAAAATGCAAGCTAATTAAGTACTATTAATTTTTATTACAACGAATTCTATTAATACATCCACATAAATTATTTTAAAAATATCCCTTTTGGGACATAATTCCATTTATAATATTCTTTTTCCACTTTTCTAAATCCGACAATATGGGGCTTAAGTAACATATTAATATGATTTTGAATGGTTAGCTTTCTGTGCCTACTTCACTTCAATAACACCTTTCGTCTTCAGCAGTAGAGGGCGGAGTTCTACACCGTTATAGAATGCATGCTATATTAATTATACATATATTATCTCATGTTTCAAATTTAGTTTTAAAAATCTATTTGGTAACATTTTGGCAAGTGGATCATTGTAATATTTCATTATTTGTGATACATATATTTTTGGATCTAAAAACTATAGTTTACTTATTTATGAACACATAACAATATTTTATTCGCCTCAATATTAATAAATATTTATAATAATAAACAGTATTTAGTATAAATGTGCTCTTTAAAATTTGCATTGAATGACAAAAGAAAACATTTCTTAATAAGTATCTTTCACCTAATATCGACATTAAACACTCACTATTATAAAGGCTACTCCTTCTATAAGCATAAAACCAAGTCTGTTTATATTCAAGTCTTTATTTATCATTTAAATATATTTGAGCGTTAACGTGACTATTTATTTACAACATGACATCTTGGATTTATCTTTTTTATTATTTAATCATTTAATGCACATTTTTAAGTCACCTATTATGGACCACGTTCTAATTGTATTATTAGATTTATTTTCTTACACCATACTCATTTTAATAATTAAACTAACAATCGTAATATTTATACACATTTTATTTTATATTTGAAGAAGATTTTAAAAACATTCATATTTAAAATATACCAAAAGATTATAAGATTAAAAGAAATTTAGAAATTATTTCACAACACCAATAAAATATTAATTTCCTTTAAATAGTTTAAAGAATTACTTTTTGATTTAAAATAATTAAAATTACCCTAATGATAATTTTCATTTAATCATAAATATCTAATAATCTTAATATCTTTTAAAGTCTAAGAAACTGCTTTTGGCACATCGATTACTAGGACATTCATTTCACATTTTACTACCTCTACATGTTACATTAAGTATTTTAAACTATTTTAGAACAAACTTCCATATATATTTTTTTAGAATACTTATCTTGATTTTCCATAAAGAAAAACACTATCATACCTAAGCCAATTTAAATAACATACTATTAACTTCGTTCTAACTAGTTCTCACGGCGTAGTAACCTAAAGATAAACCGCCTTTACATATTATATCAATTATAAAAATGGGAATTATTTTTATAACTTTCTTGTTATTCATTCTTGGTTAAAATAGTGATTTATCGAGTTCTTCATCTATTTAGCATCAATATTTAAAACGCCTGACTTAGTCTCATTGGTTCAGTCGCATGTACAAAAGGACAATATTTTAAATCTTCATTCCATAACATTTTTATAAATAACTTTAGAATTACATCGTTTAAAGCTATGCTTTTATAAAACAATGTTTCATCTTCGATGCACCGTTACAATTTATCTAACCTTAATGCTTGCTAAAATTCTAAGAACCCAATATATATATATATTATTATTTATAACATACATTCGTATGGTTTCATTTGAATTACATTTCATTCTTGATAAGTAATTTTTGCCATTATTGATATTTTATATTAAATAGACACTTTTATATATTATATGTAACTTCTTAAATTTTATGCATTTTATTTATTTTGTTGATTTAGAGCCGATTTTTAAATCGTCAAATAAAATTTAGCCATCAAATAAATTACTGACTGATCCAATATTAACATTCATACAACTGTAATTTTAAATTTTTTTATGTTGAATTATATCGTATGAATAAATTTTAACTGAGGATTGAAAAATCGGCACTATATCAAAGATATTTTAGCAGGGATTACAAAGCTAACATGGCAGGACGGGTACCAACGTTGTTATGACTTAAATGGCTTTGGTGGTACAAATATTATTTATTATTCTCTCTAAAATAAACTGAATAATATGTATATTAATTTTATTTGACTATTCGTAACTAAAAAAAAAATGCTACCATTTCAATTTAAATGCCTTATTTTATTTATTAAAATAAACACATGACGATATTGTGTGTAATCTTGACAAATTGGTTTCACTATTTTGTAACTGTTTTGGATTAAATACAAAAGTTACCCCATCAGTAGGGTTTGTAGGGTTTTCTCTTCTATCGTATAGGTGGTTTAAATATATAAATTGCATAAGGACCCACATCCTGACATGGGACATTTGTTTGTATGTGCACAAAAACTTGTTCCGTGCGTGATTAGAACCCGCGGCTCAGAACGCCGCGACAAAATGGTTGACTACCGTACCGTACGTATCTACGGAGGTTTGAAATGGATTATTTTATATTCTACTCTATAGACATAAATACAAGTTATATATTTTGGTCATTCTTAAAGGGTTATTAGGTTCACGGATATATAAAATGAGAACTACTACAGTTTTATAAAATAAATTATATAATATCGAATGAATCTTCCCATATCATGTGTCGTCGTCAACCAGCCTTCATCCATCGGTCTATGGAGTATTCCAGGGCTGCCATCCATCTATAACAATAAAATTATATTATTAATGTACATTTTAACAATTACGAGTAGAGACTGCGATGGCGTAAGAATATCCATTACCCCATTTCATTATATTGTTGTCGTAAGAGGCGATAGAGGGAAACTGAAACTGGAGGTGGGCAGCAGCATCTTCCTGACCACAACCGATTTTTCTTATAGGATAGGGTGACAAACGAGCACACTGACCACCTGATGGTAAGTGGTTGCTGTGACCCATAGACATCTATATCTATCATCGATTACAAATCAAAATGCAGATGCGTTGTCACCCATGAGGACTAAGATGGAATGCCTCTTTTCCAGTAAAAAGGGTCTCCGGTTCTCTACACTCACCATACGAATCACAGCAGCATTAAGCTGCTATTTTACGCTGGTATTCTGCGAGAGCATTGTCCTTCCCCGGTCGAGCCGACCCATTCGTACAACAACTATACTATTAATATAGCTGCAGCATGGCTCTATCACATAAAAAATATGAATGTATATTCACTCTTGCCTAGAAAACACCTATATTGTAATTTATGTTAGCCTATCAAAGTCCATTGCTGAACATAGGCCTCTCCCATAGATTGCCTCAAGGGGGCTATGCCATAGTTGCCACTTGCAGGAGGGTTGGTAACCGCAGTTTCACATTATTTTGAGATGTTATCAGGAAAATGCTGTTGCCTATCTTCTGTTTCAATTCTTATAATTATTATTATCATTTCTTTTGATGGCCTTGGAATGATATGGTGATAGTGGATTCATCACGTGGACTGTGTGCTCGTTTGTCACCCTATCCTATAAAAAAAAAACAATAGGGTTTTGTGTGTCTAGTCAGAGCGCTTTTCCATCTTCGACTGTATCACGTTATCATTGGTAGTCAATTTCCAGCTTATATAATTCATAGAAAAAATACTTCCTGCATGTGTCGTAAGAGGCGCTTATAGGAAGTAGAAAAAATATCATATGTCTTCTGACAGATGATGGTATAATCTCGTTTACCGTTACCGTTACAGCCTATTAAAGTCCACTGCTGAACTTGGGCTTCCACCATAGATTGCCTCATAGGAGCGATATTTGCCATAGTTGCCACGCTTGACAAGCAACAGTTATTTTTATTTTTAGTCGTTATTAGGATTAGTAAGCTGAAGTGGCAATGGGCCGGCCATATAGCTCGAAGAACCGACAACCGATGGGGAAGAAAGGTTCTCGAGTGGCAGCCTCGTACAGGTAGGCGAAGTGTAGGGCGTCCCCCCACGAGATGGAGTGACGACCTGGTAAGACATGCAGGAAGTCGATGGATGCAGGTGGCTCAGGGCCGTGCTTTGTGGCATTCTTTGGGGGAGGCCTATGTTCAGCAGTGGACTTGTGAAGGGCTGTAATGATGATGATGATGATGATGATTAGGAAGACGCTGTTGCCCATCTCCTGATTAGTTTCCCTCTGACTCCTCTTACGACACCCACGGGATGATATGGGGTAGATATTCTTACGCCGCCATTGCTGTCTTAAATCTCGATTCCCTTAAACGTCTGTCGACGGGAAGCAGCATCGAAGGCGCATGATGTCTCGCACTTAGATATCTAAACCGCCAACTAAGCCAAACACAACGGACTTAGTTGCAGTGAACTTTGACGGAGTAATGCTTTAATATATAATAGGTACATTTATTATCAAATTAGCTTAAAACGCACTTAATGACTAAACGCTACCATTGAACAATTTCGTACAGAAGTTTAAAAATAATAATCATAACTTTGATAGAATTAACCGATATTCATTAAAAAAAAAAAAGACAAAATGTTACTAAGATACGCGTGATATTGTTCTTAACGATTCTTATGTAAAATATTAGTACTTTAGACGTGATACGTTCATAAACAAACAAACAGACAGACAGAAAGAATTATAAAAATGATAGATATGTATTTTTAGTCCCTCTCATTCAGTTTTTGTCACAAAATTGTACAACGTACATACATACACCTGCAATTTACATTCTTATTATATGTATAGATTACAACTGACCGCTTTCTGTCCATTTCGGATTCAGTGTGAAAGTAGAAGTGCCTTTGTTTAGGTTCAGTTGGCATTACTTCGAAAGCGTATTTCTTGCCACCTGGTGCGCAGGTCTGAATTCTGTAGCCGTGTAAGCAAGCCATACCTGCAAATAAACAATCAATTTTCTTATAAATCTAAGTGAATTCGTTAATGTTTATCAAAAAAAGTAAAAGTTTAGTATATATGTATGGTATAATTTTTATCTGTGGTGATACGTGCCTCTCAGTGCATGTGAATGTAACCTAAGCTTTACTCTTAAAAGTAACATCGAATGTAAATTGTACAATCGCTATTGTTCGCTGAAATCTATTTTCTTCTCAGATATTTCCACACATTTTAGAAAATATCATAACTCATTCATATAGTCATTCATATTACTATAAATGCATTAAATATTAAATTACCATTAAGAATATACACGTAATATGCGAACCGCAATAAAATTAAAAAGTTAAGAAGTATACATAATACATATTCCGTGAAATTTGTATGTAAGATCGTGCGATCTCCGAGTTTTTTTTTTTATTTAGTAGTTGCCAGTACGTCGAACGTTGGTTTGTTGTGATAGAGCCACGCTGCAGTGTATTATAACTGCAGCATAAATCGATCGACGGGGAAAACCATGCTCGCACTGAATATCAGCGGAAACAGCGTTATAACATTGCTGTTTCATATGGTGAGTGGGAGGAGCGGGAGACGTTTTTTCTGGTAACGAGCTATTTGTCTTAGTTCTTAGGGGTGTCAATGCGCCTGCATGCCCTTTTTATTGTCAATCAGAAACAGAATGGGCTATACCAACTACAAACAGGCTGTGTGCTCATTTAGTTTTTAGCTATTCCCCATTTCTATAAAAAAATTATGATTTATAGAAGAATATTTATGATTTATTTTTATTTAAAAACTTTATTGTTCTAACCAATAAAAAAGTTACAAAGGAACGGACTTAATGCCAGTTAACATTCTCTGTCAGTCAACCCATGGCGTGGTGAGAAATTAGTGGCAGGTGACTTAAGTAACTAAATATAATATATTTATATAGATATAGAATATCTTTTAGCTTACAACACAATGCCTTTACGTTTTAATAATGGTTTGGGGAAAACATTTATTATGCGCATAATTAATTGATGTATTATTTCCTGCTACCTTTGTAAGTCAAGTTTCCTTTTAAAGTTCTCCCACGTAAGCCAAGACAGGTCCGCTGAATAAAAATTTTACATCGAAACCCATTTTTCATCGAAAATCTGACTGTTTAGCTACTGTTAAGGATCATTTTTTTTTATTATTTTTTGTCTTAAGTTCTTGTTTGTTTTCATATTATTCACTTAGTTGCTTATAAGTTTGGGGAAAAAGTTTCATTGTATTTTATATAGAAATTCAAGACATTTTTTTTCAAAGTTTAAGTACATTTAATTATAATATATATGTGCCATTTTGTTCGATAACTTGTTGCCATCTTGCAGGTAGTGATATAATCCCGTTGCTGTAGAAATCTTGGGATTTTTGATTAAAAAATGCTACAAGTAGTTTTGACAGTCCTCTCTTGTTATTACTAACACTACCCAAACAATTCTGAAGAAACCGAAACAGATTAAAATCTGATGGTGAAAGGTCAGGACTATATGGTGGATGCAGTAACACTTCCCAACCAAGCTCTCTCAATTTTTGCTGAGTGGTCAAATATGTGTGTTGTCTGGCGTTATCATGATGAAAGACCACTCCTTTTCTGTTGATCAATTCTGGCCGTTTTTTCTCAATTTCTTGCTTGAGTCTCAATAATTGTTGGCAGTCTCTACTACTCTGTGGATCTCTATCTATGTATATGTTGGTTTTAAGTGGCGATAAAAGCTCATAATAAACGATGCCCTTCCAAAACCACCATACACACAGCAGCACCTTATACTTTTGAGCTTTACTACCCTTTGACTATTATCTTTTTTGCACATTCTTGTCGTAAGTGGTCCACTTTTTATCACTAGAGATCAATCTTTTCAAAAATGGTTCAGTTTCATTACGTTTCAATATGGAATCGCAAATGAGTACACGATTCATTAGGTTTCTTTCAGTGAGCTCGTGTGGTACCCAAATATCGAGCTTTTTTGTATAGCCAGACTTTTTCAAATGGGTGAAAACTGTTTTGAGGTCAGTTCTCAATTCCTCGGCTATATCGCTACTACTAATATGCCGATCTTGCTCCACTTTTTCAAAAATGGCATTGACTTTATCCGTATGAGGGAGACCAGAGCGAGCTGCATTTTTGACATCGAAATTCCCGGAATGAAAACGCTTGAACCAATTTTGTGCTATTCCTACCTGACACTGCATTTAGTCCATAAACTTCACAAATTTTTCGAAACTTGAGTCACATTTTTCACCTTTTTTGTAATAAAACTTCAGAATGTATCGAATTTCTTCGTTAGATTTACACATTTGGGCGGTAAGAAAAATAAATTGAAAATAGCGGGAAAGTGTTTTTCAATTTTAATTTTAATTTTTCTTATTATCCTTTACGAGCCGTGGTAGCTCAGATGGCTAGCGCTTGCTGTAAGTTTCACAGTACGCGAGAAACCCGAGTTCGATCCTCGCCGGCACCAATGAAATTGTAATTGCAATTTTAAGTGCTGATTTACCACGTGCTCGGTGGTAAAGGAAAACATTGTGACGAAACCTGCATGTCTGACAAATAAGAAAAAAAAATATTACGAAGACATGTGAAGTTCGCCAACACGCACTGGGGCAGCGCGGCGGAACTTTCCTTGCCCTAAAACCCTCAGAAATGAGAGCAGGCCTCTGCCCAGCAGCGGGACGTGTATATAGGCTGTAACTTTACTTTACTAACTTTAATATCCTTTATGTATTTATATTAAAACCAGTCAAATACAACAACAGTACAACCAAAGAGATTTTTCTTCAATTTTATACAAACAAAATACAAAGAAACTTCCACCCCGACCTATTATATAACGTTATATGTATTCCGCTAACACGCATTGGGACAACGTGGTGGATATTCCCTTTAGAAATTAGAGGAGACATGTACCACAGCTTAAGAAGAAAGTAGTTAGACTGTGCCTGTAAGTAGTAGGACATGTAAATAATTGAATAACAGAATAATGCAGATCTCTTATAATGTTTTGGTTGTAGGATAATCGAACTTTATGAATATACGCAATAAACAATTTACCGTAGTTTCATATACAAATTTTAAATATAAATAAAAAAAAACTTTTTAGGCTTACATACATATATATTTTTTATATTTTATTTCTTCGAGTCTGCAACAGTAACTTATAAATCGCCTTTTGCTTAGGGATTCGGTAGATCCGTGTGACGTCACGATGAACACACACACAAAGTGGTCGGGCATTTGCTTTAAGTTTACCTTGGGATAATCCGTTAATACATTTATTTTATTGAACAATCAAGTGAAGTTTAAATCTGTATTCTCATGATCGAGACACGAACGCTTTTGTAAATTAGTTTAAAAAGAATTTACATAGAATATTTGTACCTTACATGAGTAATCTATAAAAATAGAGGTTTGCAGTTCTGCGCGCATCACGGCAAAACTACTGGAGAGATTTCAATTAGGTTTTCGAAGTTTTATTTCTTAAACACTTTGCCCTTATCTAAAAAAATATTGCGATATATTCATTACATAAAGTTATTAAAGTTTCAAGATACAACGATTTTTATAAGCACTACGTGTTCAGTGATGTGTATAGGCAACGCAAACGCAGTCGCAGGTATCAGCTAGTCCTAATATAAAACAATAATTAATTTAAATGTAAAACCAACTTTATTTATAACCTCTAAATTTTAATCCTGTTTTGTGAATTAATAAGCGCTCAGACCTAAAGTCTTCGATCTAAAGCTTGAATAAAGTCACATCATAAAACTGCAGACAATGACAAAATCTTCATGTTAAACGTCTGGATCTCTCTCTGAGAATGAATACTATTACTTGGTTGATCAATGACTTTTTGGAAAAGAACACTTATCAATGAGTTATAGAAATGCGTTCAATTTTTTTCGAAACTTAAATTCTTTAGTAGCCAAGACCACAAAAAAGTAAATTAAAAACAATTCTCAATTTTGGTTTCATACTTCACATTTGGTGAGAATTTGATTCGTACGCAAAATGGAGAAATTTGAACTTAGTGCGGTTATTTAATATTTCTGCCTGAAAAAAAATTTCTACAAAAAGTATTTTTGAAGAACTGCAGTCTAATTATGGTAGAGTATGCTCAGTCTTATTCTATAGTTCCACACTAGTGCGTTGAATTTAAACGCGGCAGAACCGCCTGCAATGACGGCAATCGCTCTGGGCGGCCAACAACGGCCGCTACGCAAGAAAACCCAAAAAAAATCGCAGAAATTGATAAGGTAGATCGACGTGTAACTATCCGTTATTTAGCCGAAATTCTAAAGCTTTCGTTTGGAATAATTCAGTTTATTTTAACTCATACAACGTCATAGCATTCGAGGGGTGAGAACCTGGTGACTTGTACTACAGGCTTATAAATGCCTACTTCAGGCACCAGCTTCTCACATAATAGAATTCTGTTTATGTACTACTAGATTTACAATGTTTTACTTTATGTTATGTGAGAAGATAAATAAAGACTTTATTATTATTATTATTATACCTTCAAATCCAAAAAGGTGGCTGAACGTTGGGTTCCTCGAATGTTAACAGACGCCCAAAAGAAAGCTAGAACTGACATTTCGAAGCTGAATTTAGCAATAATTGAAGAAGATCTAGGTTCTTTTTGCGCTCGTTTCGTAACTAGATGAAACGTGGGTACACCATTTTGACCTGGAGGCGAAAAACCAAACCAAGGTGAGGAAGAGACCGTCTTCCCCGGCAGCCAAGAGATTCAACTTGTCTGTGTCCGCTAGAAAAATAATGGCTTCGAAAAAATTTACTATTTTCTAATACTTAGCATTAAGATTACCTATTGTGAAGAGAGAATAAATGGATTAATTCATTAATTTAAGTAAGGGAGAGAAATAAACCAGAGATTATTACGCATCATTAATCAAAAAACTAGGTGAAGAACTAAAGAATAAACGTCGAGGAAAATTGGTTGCTGGAATGCGTTTTCATTATGATAATGCCTATCCCCATCGATCTGATGTTGCAGGCGCTGCCATCCGAACTGATGGGTTTCAGTTCATGCAGCAACCTCCATATTCACTTGCGTCGTATAAAATTCGACGGTGACGATAAGGTAATGTTTGCTGCAGAGACATTATTCGAGTAACAGGTTAGATCTTTTATCAAGGGAATTAACCAACTTGTAAAACCCTATTCAAGGTGTATTAGATTAAAAGGCCATTACGTTGAAAAATGAATACAATTTACATACACATCCATTGCGTTTTCCAAAATTTATTGATCAACCTACTTACTATACCTACCACATATGCATCACATAAGCAACGACCTGGCCCTAAATGCAACACACCCAAAGCCACGCTGACTTGACAATATAACGAAGGGCTGCCGAATGTATGCCTTGAAGAAATCAAGCAGGCTCTGTCTTCCTGAAAATGGAGCCTAAATGTGGACACTGACGATACGGCTACTCGATTAGCTCAAAGTTGCTCAGGGAGCTATACATTGAACTAAGCTCGGAGTTTCTCTGGTAAACACAATTCGTAACGAAGAAATACACAGGAGAACCTAGATTCCTGACGTAGCCTTCCATGTGTGAAAACTGAAGTAGCAATGGGCTTTGTCACGTTTGTTAGAAAAGTGAAAAATGGAGGAGTAGATATATCATTGAGTGAAGTCCGTGCTTTGGCAAAGGTAGTGTGCGACTACACCCGATTAAACAGAGCGACGATGTGCGCAACAGGTTAAAAATGCGTTTTGCTTTTTAGTACTGCTTAATATAGGCACTTTTACGGATAATTACTAGCATACATTGTAAATTTTATATTTGCTAACAAAGAATATGACTTAATATCTGAAAATAAAATTTTCAATATTATTATCACTAATACTAACCAAAAGCACTTTTGCTATTCCCATCATTGTAGAAGTACAGACAAGCATCTTTTAAAACGCAGTATCGTTTTGCCCAGGACTTCCATTTTGAGCCCAACTTCATGAGATAACCAAAGCAGTCTGGACGTAGAATGGAAGACGGTGGCAGCTTCATATTCCTCATCGTAACTTCCAGCCATCCGTCGCGCTGAAAATATTTTCTTTTATGAAATCGCATTTTTTAAATTAGAGTTAATAACAATATTTTAATCCCTACCAAGGACATAATATGCCTTGTGAGTATGGTAGATATAATGGCTATAAGCGCTCGATGTAGATTTCACAGTACCTATGCGAAACCTGTTTTCGATCGTCGCTGGTACCAATTAAACTGTTAATTGCAATTTTAATTGATTATTTACCAGGTGCTAGGGGGTAAAGAAGAACGTGTAACCTACATGACTAAAAAATAAAAAAAATATTTAGAGCACATGCGGAATCCCTAAAAACCCTCTTAGAAGTGAGAGAGGCCTGTGCGCAGTTGTAATGCGTATATTCTGTAAATTTAACTTAAATGTTATATATGTGTGAAAGTTTCAAATGAATATATCTTCGTAAGTAATAGGAAAGTGATAGCCTACACATGTTTCACTGCTGGACACAGGCCAATTCTGATTTCTTAGAAGCTTATGGAGCAAGACAGAGTCCGCTGCGCTGTTCAAGTGCAAATTGCGAACTTCACAAGCCCTTAAGCAATGGCAACACACAACAATGCCGAAATTCTGTACGGTATTTTCATTCACCGTTAACCGTCACCGTAACAGACCTATTCTTAATTTTTTTTTAAATTAATATGAAAGTGACTTTGTATTACATTACGTCGTATAATTTATAAGCAGTGCGGTGGTAGCTCATAAAGAAAAAGATATATAGCATAACTAGCGATCCGCCCCGGCATCGCACGAGTGATTTCTGGATCTCGACAACAGCGCCACCTACCGGGTCCAATTGTGAATCGAAACCATACAGGGACCCACTCAAACTATGTTCTGACCAAGTTTTATATCTATAAGAGCTGTTATTCGAAAATGTGTTTTTTTTTAATTAACGCCCCTTCAGCCCCACTTGCGGATGGAATTTCGTAAAATCCATTTTAGTTGACGTTTGCTTATCAAAAGGAATATTCCTACCAAATTTCAATTCTCTAGGCCTTATGGTTCCAGAGATATCGTGGTAAGTCAGTACATATATATAGATTTTTTTTAAATTAACGCCCCCGCAACCTCCCTTGCGGATGGAATTTCGTAAAATCCATTTTAGTTGACCTTTGCTTGTCAAAAGGAATATTGCTACCAAATTTCAATTCTCTAGGCCTTATGGTTCCAGAGATATCGTGGTAAGTCAGTACATATATATAGATTTTTTTTAAATTAACGCCCCCGCAGCCCCCCTTGCGGATGGAATTTCGTAAAATCCATTTTAGTTGACCTTTGCTTATCAAAAGGAATATTCCTACCAAATTTCAATTCTCTAGGCCTTATGGTTCCAGAGATATCGTGGTAAGTCAGTACATATATATAGATTTTTTTTAAATTAACGCCCCCTCAACCTCCCTTGCGGATGGAATTTCGTAAAATCCATTTTAGTTGACCTTTGCTTATCAAAAGGAATATTCCTACCAAATTTCAATTCTCTAGGCCTTATGGTTCCAGAGATATCGTGGTAAGTCAGTACATATATATAGATTTTTTTAAATTAACGCCCCCGCAGCCCCCCTTGCGGATGGAATTTCGTAAAATCCATTTTTAGTTGACCTCTGCTTGGCGAAAGGAATATTCCTATTAAATTTCAATTCTCTAGGCCTTATGGTTCCAGAGATATCGTGATGAGTCAGTACAAAATGTGTTTTTTTTTTTAAATTAATGTCCCCAAGACTTCCTTTGTGGGTAGAATTTCGTAAAATCCGATTATTATTTAAATATGTGTTCTACTTAATATATTTTATTGTTTTATTAAAACATTACATAGATAACATGAAAGCGTCCCAAACTCAAAGTCTGTTCAACGAGCTCATAGAGTGTGAATCTACTAAATCTAAAGCATTGCAACCCTCCACAACAATCGATTTGACTGGTGATGATTATGTCATGTCAAGAACAGCAGCAAGAACTACCTGCAGTAGAAGAAAATTAAAGAAATATATAAAAATTAATAAATATATTAGAAAACTACAAAAATTAATTAAAACTAAAATTAATGTTAAAAATTATATAAATGTATGCAAAGAAAAGCAAGAACTAATTAATAAACTTAAAATATATTCAATTGAGGTGGAAAATATGAATCACTGTTATGAGACTGATATAGAGTGTCTACATTCAACAATTTTATCACTTAAAAGCTCTCTAGAAATTGTATCAAATAAATATGCATCGGCTCAAGATGAGATAAAAGAACACATATTGGCCATGAATGATCTGGTAAAATCATGTAAATATAATGAGGAGCGCTTTGACTCCTTAATAAAAAATCAGAGTGAGTATCAGCGCTCCATACCAGGTTCGTCGGGGACAATATGTGTAAATAACAAAGTTAACAGTAAGACCTCATTATTTTCATCTACACTCTATGACAGTGCTATGACAAAGGATATAAACTTAAAAAGTAATGTAAATATTAAAAAAAATAAAGTTATTATGTATTGTGATGACATAGGCAAAAATTTGGGCATGATGTTAAATAACTGTTTAAAAGGACATATGATCACTAATTATTGCATGCCTGGAGCATCCTTTAGTCATATAATGAATAAAGTTTTAGCTAGTAAATTTTGTCCTAATAGCACATTAATTATTCTTGTTGGGAGAAGAGGCAATGTAAACAAAAATCAATTATTAAAATATATTGATAATCTAAATACTTTAAATGTACATAAAATTATCTTGTTTACATTGCCTTACATACAGGGTTGGCCGCAGGAAAATAAAATAAGATATGATTTAAATTTATTAATGAATAACTTTTCATGTAATAATAATTTAAACTTGACATTTAATTGTTACAATTATAATGATAGAATTAATTTAATAGATATAAATAATTTAATTAAGAAATTTTTGACTGTAGAAATGGCATGTGTTGAGTTTGAGCACCTCATTGTTGTGAGCGTCTACAGACCCCCATGTTGTACATATGATACTTTTGAAAACATTATGGAGGAAGTTTTTGCTAAGCTTAATAAACAGAATAAATCTGTTGTAATATGTGGAGATTTTAATATCAATCTCCTAGAAGCTTCCTCCATCAATATTAAATTTAGATCATTGTTTAAATCATATGGTCTTTTTAATTTATTTATAGAGCCAACGCGTATTTCTCAATCTAGTGCAACATGTATAGATAACATTTTTACAAATGTGAAGCCGTTGCATAAATGTATAATTCAAAAATTAAGTTCTGATCACTGTGGACAAGTAGTTTCGTTACCTTATGTTCACAAAAAGCAAGTAGATGAGAAAGTTGTGTCTGTTCCAGTAAATGCACGTCGCTTGGAGAAATTTAGAAGTAACATAGTGAAAAAACTTCCATCACTTTCATACCAAAATGATCCTAATTTTTTGTATGGAACATTATTTAAGCTTATTTGCAATGAATTTAATAATACTTTTACTTCTAAAACATTCTCCTTGAACAGTCGGAAGTCATTCAATGAATGGGCGACAGTAGGAGTCCATAAGAGCAGGCATAGGTTATATGATCTTTACCATGAAAGGTCATATAATCATAGCGTCGAATTTAGGGAATATGTAAAAAAATATTCAAAAATATTTAAAAGAGTGTGCTCCATAGCCAAGTCTTTGCATTTGAGCAACAAAATTAAGACGGCTTCCAATAAAATTAAAATGACATGGAGTATAATTAATAGCGAAACTGGTAAGATCAACTCTCGCAATTCAAATTACCAGTTAAGTGTTAACAACAAATTAACTGTATCAGATCAGGACGTAGCAATGGTTTTTGAGAAATATTTTACTGATATTCCGATCTTGACCACTAAGTCACTAAATTCTTCTCCTGCCGTCGCCGAATCATTACTTAAACATAATGTAAATGTGTGTACAAAGAATTTTACATTTCATAAAGTGACATCAAAAGATATTGTAAAATATTTTAAAACTATTGATGTTAAGAAAACTGCGGATCTGTGGGGGATTTCCGTTAAAGTTATTGCGTCTATAATAGATACAATCGCGCCTCATTTAGCTATTATTTTTAATACTAGTATCGAATCTGGTGTGTTTCCTGATTTAATGAAGCATAGTAAAGTAATACCTTTATTTAAATCTGGTAGTACATTAGACCCCGCCAATTTTAGACCTATTTCTGTACTACCAACACTTAGTAAGATTTTTGAAAAAATTGTTCTTGATCAAATGTTAAATTTTTTTAATATAAATAATTTACTTCATAAAAATCAATTTGGTTTCACAAGGGGTCGCTCGACAACTGATGCCGGTGTTGAGCTGATTAAATATATCTTTAATGCATGGGAGAATTCACAGGATGCTTTGGGTATATTTTGTGACCTATCCAAGGCCTTCGATTGTGTTCACCATGAAACATTAATCAGGAAACTTCAACACTACGGTGTAAGAAGTGATGCCCTTAAATTAATTATTTCATATTTAAGTAAGAGAACGCAAAAAGTTGTCATTAACAATATGAGCTCTTCCGGATCGATGGTACAAATGGGCGTGCCTCAAGGCTCAATTCTCGGCCCCTTTCTGTTTCTTGTATACATTAATGACTTACCTTACATAGTAGGGGATAGCCATGATATAGTATTATTTGCAGATGACACTTCTTTAATTTTCAAATTAAGTCGACAGTTACTAAAATATGACGAAGTAAATAATGCTATATCTAAATTAGTAAATTGGTTCGATGTTAATAATTTGCATTTAAATGGCACTAAAACAAAATGTATGAAATTCGTGACTCCAAATGTCAAACAATTAAATACTAATGTAATTTTAAATGGGGAGAAACTGAGTCTTGTAGATACCACCATTTTTCTTGGAATCACACTAGACGCGAAGCTTCAATGGAGCCCCCATATATCAAAACTAGCAAGCAGACTTAGTTCTGCAGCATATGCTGTAAAAAAGATTAGAAGTCTAACCAGTGTTGAAACAGCTAGACTAGTTTACTTCAGCTACTTCCATAGCATAATGTCGTATGGTATTTTGCTATGGGGACACGCAGCTGACACAGAAATTATATTTGTTTTGCAGAAGAGGGCCATAAGAGCAATTTATGATTTAAAGCCTAAAGAGTCGCTGCGACAAAAATTTAAGGAAATTAATATATTAACTTTGGCCTCTCAATACATTTATGAAAATTTAATGTACGTACACAAAAATAAAAGTAGTTTTATAAAAATAAGTGATATTCATTCTGTAAATACTAGGAACAGACACAAGCTAGTAGTACCAGTTACTCGACTCCATCGAGTCAGTAATTCATTCTTGGGGCGATGTATACGCTTTTACAACAAAATTCCAGAAAATATACAAAGTTTGGCCTGTTCAAAGTTCAAAAACTTTATTAAACTAAGTTTGTATAAAAAGGGTTATTATAATATTAAGGAATTTATGGATGATAATAACCCCTGGAAATGAGGTGATCGCTACCAAGCTATTTCTAATTTGTTGTGTTGTTAATTTGTGTAACATCATGATTGTAAGCTGTTATTTAAAAAAAAAAGTCCCGCTGGGTTTCTTGCTGGTTCTTCCCAGGACAGAGGTTTTTTCCGAACCAGTGGTAATCAAACAAAAGAATGACTTTCAATAAGTATTATTTATAATCTATATTGAATAAAAAAGTTTCTGTTTCTGTTTCTGTTTCTGTTTCTGTATCATATCTACTTTTCTTGATAAAGTTTATGTATATGACATATAGTTATAATCTATTACAAAAATATTTATAAATATGTATGTATTCTATGTATGTATATGTAGGTATATGTGTATATGTATGTGTGTATATATGTATTTGTGTGTTTATGTGTATATATAATAGTATGTGTTTGATTATTGCATCGTCATATACTATATATACCTTGTACTATTAATATACACTTGTTTATTTACTATTAATGCACACTTCTATATATTTAAATGAAAATTATCTCCTTCACCAAGGTTTGCCTGGAAGAGATCGCTGTTAAGCGATAAGGCCACGTAATTGTATATTCATTTATAACTTTTAATTTTTTCTGTGTTGTGTAGTATTTTGTGTGCAATAAACAGTATAAATAAATATCTATTAAGCATTTAAAATAATAGAATAAATTTATTTTTAATGTATGAATTAAAAACATACACGACATATGAATTTTCTTCATTTTTAAAGAGCTTTAAAATATTAGTGGTTACGCTGTATGGGTGTAGCTGGAAGCAAGACGATACACATAATAGCATTTTGCCGTAAGCGTAAGTTAGTCCAATAATTATAATCAAAAACTATGATTCCTTTTTGTGTCCTTTGTGTGACTATAGTCCAAAGGTTCAGTTCAGTTCAGTACAGTTTGAACAGCGCCATATAGCGACATGAATATGAACTTTTACAAAAGCACAACTTTCACAAACCTGGTTACTAGCTTCGATAGCATGAGCTAGTACAGCGCGCCATCTAGCGGCTGCTTCAGCAGTGTCTGCAGCGAGTTGTAGCCTTGTTCCGCCACCACGCTGCAATCGGAATCCATGTGGTCGCCCAGCGTCTTCTTCCGTAAGTTGGTAGTTTACAAGCATCAAAGCTCCAACTGGGTGAATGCTCTAAAATATAACATCATTTATTGGTAATAATAAAAAAATAACTTCATTATGAAATTTTTAAAAATATACAAAAATACCTATCTAAATAAATTAAATATACCTATAATCTAAAACAGAACTTTTCACAAGCTTATTCTGTTAGCTTTTTAAGATTTTTCTTAGCTTAGCGCATTTTTTTTATAAAAAAACTATGAATTTTTAAAAGTCGTTCTTTCGTAAAGATTTCTTAAATTTTCGCGAATATTACACATGGAATAAAATATATTTTACGAGATTAATAGAACAAAGTTGAACAGTTTCGAGCGCTTAACACCCGTGGTCATGGGATGACCAAAGTGTTCATTGATTCATTCATTCAATGTTGATGTCATAATTAACTCGGGTTTCCTTTTAATTATTAATTTTTGTCTGATCTACACAGTACGCACTGTGTAGATTGGACAAAAATTAATATTAAAAATTAAAAATATTTTAAAATTCTTGACTGAACTGCTGTTAAAAAATGTTTTGCTACAAAATTTTCATCACAGACCCAAAATTAAATTTAGGAAAAGTAATAGATGCTTTTGTGCTTCGTTTTTACATATTATTTTTATCCTTAAAATATTTTGTCTTTAAAAATGCCGAGCAGGAAAAATCGAGGGACGCGTTCTATTTATTCGCTCACACATCGCGGCCACCATATTTCACCGCGATGCTCCCAGACCTCTGAATTATTTATGTGATGGCGATAGAAAAGAATTTATTTTGTTATCTCGGGCTTAGTGAAGACCGGAGATGTGGACTGGACCCGTTTATAACGGATGAGTAATAATAAACAAAAACAAGACACTTACCGAATCTGTTTTATAATAATATAGACAATTATCCCTCTTCAAAACGAACCAGCGACGCGTCCAGCGTGGTGGATGATGAGGTCTCAGAGGCGCTGCACGCCATAGATATCCGGAGTATAACGCAGCTGGTCCACCTTCATGAGCCAATGATGCCACAACATCACAAGTTCTAGCGACCTGTAATAAAATTTTATAGAAATTGAAGCTCTGTGCTGTTTAAACTAATACATTTACGATAGAATATTCTGACCAACAACGTTTAAGAAATAAATTATCCTAACTTCGTGGATGAAATTTTATTGCAGAAAATAATAAGTAATGGGTATTTATATATCCTTAAAATTATATTTTTAAATTTAATTATAATTATTCTTTATTTAATAATTACGGAGATTATTAATTATATATGATTAATTTACATTTTTTCTCTTTGAGTTTTTTAATTAAGCCGTGGTAACTGACGAACTGAGATATTCGACGTCCTTTTGTCATAGATAAGCTTCAATTTTTATTTATTTTGACTCGATCATACATAAAAAGCTTATAGTTTCTTAAATTATTATGGATTTAATTTTAATTATCACATGATCCCAATCAGAATATAGATACCTATAACCCAGTCCATCTCATTATTAAAATAAGGTTATTTTTAGTTTAGCATATAGTATTGGGATTCATACTTAGTATTACCAGTTATAAAGGGCTCTTTTTTAAACCCCGACCAAAATAGGGTTGTAATGTTAATTTTCATAGAACCATGCTGGTTCTAAAATTCTGGTTTTTAAAATTCATTTAAAAATTGTATAATCAAAATTATTGTTAAGTGAAATATGTTTAAAAAATTCCCGCTGGGTTTCTTGCTGGGTCTTCCCAGGACGGAGGTATTTTCCGAACCAGTGGTAAATAAAAAATGACTTTCAATAAGTATTATGTAATAATCAATATTGAATAAAAAATCATTCATTCATTCAGTGATCTTGGGTATATTTTAAGAAAATCTGTTCAGCCGTTTGTATATCCTCAGTTCTTTTTGTTTCGGCGGTTTTTAAAAATTTAATTTAAGTTATGGCCGTCTTTAAAATAGTATGAGGTATTTATTTCGACTGTACATTATTTTTTGCATGTATTTCATTCGATATCATTCTCTACACTCACCATATGAAACACAGCAGCAATAAGCTGCTATTTTACATTGGTATTCTGTGAGAGCGTGGTCCTTCCCCGGCATCCCCGGTCGAGCCGACCCATTCGTGCTACAACTATACTATTAATATAGCTGCAGCATGGCTCTACCACGTAAAAAAAATTACTACATAATAGCTACTAAAGTCGGGGTTAATACGCTGTCTTGGATATGACTTCTGAAACTATTATGTAAAAAATATTTCATTCTTTGGAGTTTTTTGAAGTTGGCTTTACTTTTTAATAAATGTCTAATTTTTGTGTGGATTGGACAAAAAGTAAATTTTAGAAGTTGAATGTAGTGAATGCTGCAAAGTGTTCGAATTATCGGGAATTGAAAAAGTAAGAAGAAATCACAAATCAAAAATTAAGTAAATGATAAAATATTGTACTATACTATACTTACTTGTAGCTCCAAAATTTCCGATCCCGAGTGAGCTATTTTCACCACCTCGGAATGTGTCTTGTCCAAAACATTGATCCCTGTAAATGGGTTTAAATTATAAATGGCTTTTTATGTAACTCACTTTTATTACCTTTATGTATGAATGAAATGTAATTTGGACCTCATTTTCACCGACTTCTGGACGTCTAAATAATCTAAAATTTTGCGGACGTGATAAAAACCGATAACAAACAATTATTTAATGCTCTATTACCCTGTAATCTCACTAAGATCATCACAGCTCATGATAAATGCATGCTGTATAAGTTTTTAAAATCTAATACGATATTAATAGTTTTAATATCTATATAGTTCTATGTGAATTATTTAAATAAAATGAAATAGCTACGATCTTAAATAATATATTTACGAAAACCATGAACAAACTTGTATTAAAAAGCCGATTAATTGCAAGTTCTTAGTAACTGATCGGGCTAGAGTCAGTTAATGAAGATTTTGATTGCAGAATTCTCTAGACCAGGTGTTGAAAATATTAATTGAAGATATCAATTCTTTGAATTCTTAAGAAATACTATTTTAATTACAAGTGTTTTATTTATTTAAAAAGCTCCTGAAATTTTAGAAATTTCTGTATAGGACATGACATAAACAACAACCTGTTTTGTATCAAAACTTACAATATTTTAGGAGTTTTACAATAAAAAATACAGTATACGACACGTGATTCTGTGCACTGCTTGGACGATAAGTCATTTGTTAAGGTATATAGATGTGTGTAGTAGGTAAACTGTTATATAGGTTAATCACGTGGATGATGAAACTTGAATGTAAATAAATAATAAAATATTTTACCATTTACAGCGATGACTATGTCTCCAACTTCCAACCCAGAAGTCTCAGCCGGTGTGTCAGGTTCAATTGCAGACACAACAACAGGCTTGCTTCCGTGAATTCTGAATCCAAACTCTTCATTACCACGTCTCACCACAACTGTTTTGTCACTTTCTGTGTTTGAAAAAATGTCATGATTTTACAAAAATATATCTAAAATCGATTGATAAAACAAAATGAGAAGCAAAATATTTGTAACGTTTTTACTGGTATTAAATCTGTATAACTAATTATTTCAAATATTTATAATTATTTTCGTGCTGGAAGGTTCAGGCTTAGTCATGTGGACTATAATTTCTACCAACACAAATTATGCAAGAACGCTGTGTAAAATTTTCCGATATATCACTTTTTCTTCGAATGATAACCTCACCAGCTCGCGGTACAAGGACCTGATTAAACAAATTAGGCACTGGCGATTGTCTGCTAGTATGTAAAGTGAGTTGATAACCTAAATAAGTTCCACTGCTAGGAACTAGTATTCTATCATTTTTGACAAGATTTTTAGGTTAAGATATAGTCCGCCACTCTTGACATGCATGCTGGCGGACTTCACGTTATTGAAACATTTTTTCCTAGGCCATGAAGGTTTACTTACGGTTTACAGGCAGTAAATCGGTACCATAAATTGCAATTCACAAAATCATTATCAAATTCTTACGATATTTTTATCTACTTGAGCTCACTTGGCTCTAGCGGATAGCAAATTTTGCAGAATTTTTATGGAAAACAATGTTACCAGTTTGATAGTATTCGCTTTGCATTCACGAACTCGCCAGCTATGTAATAATTAGGAGAAGACAAATCTTACAAGAAATGCGTGACCGCTGGCAGAGCGTTGCAAAGGCCTATATCCAGCAATGAACTTCGAAGTCAGAAGAAAATTGTAAAGAAAATTAACTATCACCGCATGAAATCACTGAGCATTCGCATTAAGCACGATTATTATTTATTTCTGTGTTAGAAGTTATTACATTGTAACATATAACAATAAAAAGCAAACCAGACTATCTCGTAAAGCATTTATTTAAAATATTATACTCTGCGCAACGATAAAAAAGTTTCTAATTACGCACTCCAAACAATCAATATTAAGGTCATCTTGCACTATGGTGTTTAAGTACGGTATTCAAACCCACGGCCCTCGGCGATGTAACTCAATATAAATTGTTTGTTTTTTTTTGATGGTTTATATTTTTATAAGATAAAAATAAACAAGTATTTTTTAGAAGATGTTCTCAACATAACCTAAAGATAATTATATTTTTTATTTGATTTGATGCGACTTGTACATGGTTTCATTCCGGAATCTCTGCAAGGAACACGTTTGAACAGCGAATTGAAGACATGTACTTGATTTGTGTTTTATCGAGCTAATTATTATAAATCAGGTTTTTGTCCATGTGCTAAATTTTTATAAAATTATTTTATTTTTGCGCCATAATTATATTTAAGTAGATTTAAAAGTGTTTAAGAAAGTCCAAAATTACTGCGACGTCGGCTTAAATTGACAGCAAGCATATCCTGCTACAACATTCTTTGTAACCACATTTAATATATTTTTAGAACGTCCCTACTCAGGTATAACCTGACCTAATAATATTTGTTCGTTTATCTCAACACCCGGCAGTAGATTTCAAGAATACAACTGACCATGACATAAATACAATCGCTCTGTAGCCCAGAACGGAATAACAGAATATTTGGTATCATAATAGTTTTCACTAAATGTATTGGCGATTTGCCAGAACGTCTAAGAAATAACGTTTTCATTCATGACAACAACAGTACGAACTAAACAAACTTACAGTAGTTTTACACAACAGTAACTTTATTTGTAATTATTAAACGTACTACTACGATGCAACTCATTCTATAAAATAAAACTCTTTATTTTATAAAATGGTTTTGTAGAATGAAGGTTACTAACTTCAAAAGAAGAGTATCCCAAAAATAATTAAATTCACTCTTTATTACTCTTTTAATTTTTGTGTATAAAAACTTAAATGAATTAACTTTAAAAACAATTCCACCGCCATCATCGTTACAAATTCTCAAGTGCACTGCTGAACATAGGCCGAAAAACAATTTATATTCGTAGCCACTTTACTCCACTTTTTTATATAATAACAATTAATAGAATTACTAGAGATACGTAAAAGGTGATCAAAACCATAACTTATATTATAACATTAATCTCTTTATTAAATAAAAATCAATTGCTGTCTGTTATTATCGCTACAACTCAAAAACGGTTCAACTAATTTTGATGAAATTTTTTGTGTGCTTAAATATAGTCCCTAGATGGTTTCGATTCGTTCATTTGGAGCCGGTAGGTGGCGCTGTAGTAGTCGAGATCCAGAAATCACCCGTGCAAAGTTGGGGCGGATCGCTAGTTATAAATAAAATGTTAGAATAAGCCATTATTGATATTTTGTTAAGGCTTTACCTATAGCTCTCACCACATTAAAACTAGTAGCTAGCTGGCCGAGAACCTCATTTCGGCATTAAGTTCGCATTTGCACTAATTATTCTGAGTTTAATAAAGATTTTCCCATCTATCCATTTATCTTCTAATATTATTGATCATAAAAAAACAATGGTGTTGTAAATTTATAGTAATCTTGGATTACGTAATAAGGTTTTATTTGCATGAAGCCCATTCTGACGAAATTTATTTTACATATTAATAATAGATTATTTTAATAGTTTACTTCGTATTTAATAATAATATACTTATTCTTATATATTATCAAATATATTGTATATACTTAATAATATACTATCCATTTGATGATATGGTTAAATAACACAACGTTCAGCCATCGCAGTTTGTTTCGCCTGATGATGTTTCGTTTAAAGACAAATGTATTATGGATAGTGGTGTGTATTTCTTTTCTCCTATTAGCTCTTCTAACTATTCTTTATTCTTTATTATTTCTTTATTATTTTTTAAAAGATATATATGTAAGATATATAATTATATTTTATTACTCCAATTAAAATTTTTAACATCTTTAATGTTATTAATTTACTACAAGTAACACCTGATTTAATTAATTATCTTAAAGAGGCTTATATGAGACTTTGATTATTTTCCTTTAATCGTTCAATAATTTAACAATCAAAATTTATTTTTTAAATTCATATTTTACCTGAAATTAGCAAGCTTTAATTTAGGATACCTAGGGGGAAAACAATTGTAAAACATTTTTTTATTAAATAGTATATATGTTTATTTAATAATCTTTATATATAAAAATTACGTGTCACATTGTTTGTCCACGATGAATTCCTAAACTACTAAACTGATTGTAATAAAATTTTGCACACTATGTGCAGTTTGCTCCAACTTGAGAGATAGGATAGTTTTTATCCCTATAAGTGACCCTCAATATTTTTTATTACGAATTTAAGAATTTTCATAGGACACAGGGTCGTTGGAGAGGGCAGAACAACGTCTGCCTGGTCAGCTAGTAATTGTATAAAATCACCTAATAAGCCAGCAGTTACAAATGTAATTAACAATTTTAGTGCTGCCGGAGGGAATCGAACCTTGGTCGCTCGCAAACGAAAAAATTTACGGCGAGCGATTAACTCCTAAACTACCAGAGCTTAAAATTAATAAAAAAAATCACTCAACAATCTATCCATTACAGGCTGTAAAACACCACTGCTGAACATAGGCCTCTGCCATAGATTGCCTCATAAGAGGGCTTTTGCAATAGTACCCACGATTGACAAGCATTAGTTATTATCAGGAAGATGCTACATAGCTCAGTGGATCAGTGTATGAAGAAGTCAATATGCCAGCCATATATATCGAAGAACTGACAAATGATGGGGAAAATACTCTCGAGTGCCAGCCTTGCACTGGTATATTGTATGTAAAGTGTTGGGCAATCAAAAATAGACGACCTGATGGAACACGCAGGTAGTCGATGGATGCAGGCTCAAGACCGTACTTTGTGGCAATCTATGGGGAGGATTACGTTCAGTTGTAGACTTGTCATGGGCTGTAATGATATTGACAGCGTGATTTAAATTTCATGTTATAAGTAAAACATATTATACAAGTATTTCATAACAACGTAGAAATTACGCGTATTATTTAAATGATAATATATTTTAAAAGTTGCTAAAATTAAGTTGTTAATTAATAATTATGTGAAATAAATAAATAATTCGTCTAAAATAACGATTAACGATAATATGTGTTCTTGTATTTTTTTTTAAATTGAAGATTATAATTTATCTTTCGGGTAAATTTTGTATTTGAAGATGGCGGGATTACTAAATGTACTCGTACTAGACCTAAAAGACCCAGATATGTGACAAAGGTCAGCATCTACAGCAAAATGTCCCTGGAATTGTATTCGGCAATCAAAACCAGGGAAAAGCTGTATGTAGCCAGCACACATGATATCGAAATAAATGCAATAATGAAGAGACTATTTTATTTATTACAGCCGGGCTATTCACAATCGTCTCGGAAAGCTCAAATATCTCAGTTTTTTGTTATTTATTATATAGTTAAATTATATATTTTTTATATTCGATATCAATGGCTAAACTCCAAAATATTGCATTATGTTTTTGTTCAGGCGTTACTCAAAAAAAATACAAAAGCCTATTTATCTACAAAATTCGTAAATACATGTAACTAAATGACGATACAATAGTTATAGGATGTATCTAAGTGCCCTTTATCCGAACGTTAAATGTTAATAGCGTTTATTTGTTTCGGTGCGAGAAATTATCGAACCGAGTCGATTTCGCTTTCCGAGACGATTGTGAATAGCCCTGCAGTTGAGTTAAATCATCGCTTATTAAAATGTAGTGAAATTTAAAACAATTTGAAATATTTGAGACATTAGTACTTGTATATTATATTCGCTTAGTGATTCCATACAACAATGTAATCTGTCCAACCAAGAAACGATTAGTAGGGAAATGTAGACGATAATTTTATTAAGTCCACTTTGTCCCACCAGTGGGACAGTTGGTGGGAAAAGTGGAATAAGCCTAATGAAAATATTAATATCAAACATATACATAAAAATAACTATTAGTTTAAGCATATTCTTCCGCTTCTTCATTAGCCCATAAAAGTCCACTGCTGTACATGGACCGCTCTCGTTGCAAGAGGTTTTGCCTATCACGTTCGGCAAGAGGAATGACGATCTCAGTAGTAGACGTCACGCACCTTTAACTCTGCTCCCTGTCGCCTGTCTGAGTATTTGGGTATTTTATACCTTGCATACAGCGATATTATACCGCCATCTATCGTAAACTATATTCTGGCATTTCCTATAGTCAACTCTTACGACACATACGGGACGAAATGTGGTAATGGATTTTCTTACACTACCATCATACGGTATGTTAGCATATAATAGATCTAATAAACTACTTATATATACAATATATTCCACATTTTACCACAAGGATCTGCAGCAACGAGTCTATTAGCTTGTGACTGTCGACACCATAATACCAGCATCAATTTAAAAACTTCCTCCAATTTCTGCCGTAAGCTGCCGCTCGAACTACTAAGCACATCCCTAACTAAAATAAAAATAAAAAAACTACAATCAGACAAGATAAGTAACGATAAAAAAATAAAAATTCGTTTTAAATTAGAATTGTATTGATTATTTCAGTGAAAAAAATACGATATACTTACATGAATGCTTCATTCTGATGAAAAAATATCCGAATTAAGGATCTTGACCCTGATTTGTCACTTTTGTACTTTACGCGCATGCACCGTAACAAGAGTGACGTCATTCAACAATTTCGTGATGTCGAATCGATAGAAAATAGAGAAAATACAGAATCCAACATATAAATATCGTCTAGTCGCAGTCGCGTGCCTGCATCAACTGAGAGCTGACGTTCAAGAGCTTATAGAATTAAATTTAGTTCGCTTGAGTTCGGTCAGTAACAGCAGAGAATCAATTTTCTCACCTATAGATTTTCTTCGTATCTAAATTTACTGAAATGAGTCAGTCTTACAAAAATTACACTTAAACAAAAATCTTTATGTCAAGGTCTGGAATAATATTTGTTTTTAGCATTTTTATATGTACCTAAAATATTATTTAGTGTCTGAAATATTGTGAATGGCGAGATGTCGAATAATTAAATAGTTGTTGAAACATTTTACTGGCAATACACAAAAAATTCAAAAGAATTTTGTGGAGAGTTCTAAAATAATTGATGCTGCTATTAAAGTGGTGAGAAGCCCAAAATAGTTTCGTACGTCACTGTTCAAAAGTAACACGTTAGCTCGTGCATTACGTTAACGAGTGTGACGCAACTGTTAGCTAACTAAAGATGAATAAATTCAATTAGATATTAAATTCAGAACTTATTATCGCACATTATTATAATTACATATATTATACATTCATTATCTCATTCATTATAGTATATCAAATCCCACGCCTGAACATAAGGCTCCTTCATAGATTGAATCATAGGGGGGATTTTTAGTATAGTTGCCAAACTTGTCTGGGGGGTTGGCAACCGCAATTATTTATATCTTGAGCTGTTATCAGGAAGGTGATGCCCATATCCTAATTTATTTCCCTCTGTCGCCTCTTACGACAGCCAAGGAATGACATTGCACACCGGTTTCTCATCCGCCGCTTCTAAACGCAAATATATGTTTCCATCAAAATATAATAGGTATTTGTGTTAGATGTTCCGCATTTTACGGGAGCTGCTTTTGGAAATAAAATACATAAAAATAGTCAATAAATGGCGGTACTTACCAAAAGTATTGTCAGCTTGCCTTCTATTCAGCTCGATACAAGCTCGTCGATGTACAAGCCTGTGAGTCAACGCGACATATCTCTTGTTGAATTCAACTTCTGATTCGGTAGGATCATCATGAGTAGAGTCCGCTATATCAATTAAATCTGTAAAATATTGTATAGAATTTTAGGTTCGAAGAGTAATTTTAATTGTTCTTGTTCTATGTCTTCAAACTTTGTAGTGTTATCGAATTTGATATGACTTAATTTATGTATAACATTGTACGTATTGGTGATAATATATTTTTAAATAAATCGATATTTATCTTAAATTGTTTTGAGTATTATATTATAATCTACGTGTTTTGATAGTGTAATTAGGAGCTAATGAAATCCAAAAGAATACCTGGTGGAATTCTAGTCCAGTGGTCATCATTTTCTGACAGTAAAATCCAGTTGCCGCACCACCACGGTGCTGCATACACTCCTCTTTCTTCGCGTCCGTTTTCCGCACCTTCTGAGCTTCCGGAACATTCTTCGTGTTCTGTGATTTATTGTTTTTCATATGTAAAAAATATAACAGATAATTTTAGTAAATAAGTATAATAGAAAATGTTTTTCACCGGTCCGTAAACAGTCCACTATACATTGGTTACCTTATAAAAATGAATGAAGTCAACGTTAAGTCACCTGACGTCGTCATGTTACCGTTGGAATACGGAATGCGTTAATGTGCGCATTAGCTAGATAATCTACAGATTATCGGGTGCGATCCGTTAGTGTTCGAAATTTTGCTTAAAGTAGCTTTACCTAGTTAATCTCATATTAACGGATGCTACAATGATTGTATTGCAAATTTATAACTTTAACTACATACTATATTTTATGAATCATTGTTGGCTTTTACCGTCAGACTGCTTTTAGTTATTGAAGCTTAAAATGGTTAAAAGTGGTTTGACCAAGGATGTTAGAGACACAGCTTCTTTTGACTCATACTTTTAGAATTTATGAAATTAAAAAATCTAATTCTTTCAATATTATATCTTATATCATTAACTAGTTAATCTGTACTATAACTGATTTATGCACTTTAGCGTTAAAAGTCAGATATGTCATTCCCTTTTAAATATATAGTTTCTCAGCAGCGTTTAGTTTCCTTGCATTATGATCCTTGCACGATAATAATGCAAAACAAGTGAGTTGATGCATTACGTTAATGAGTGTGACGCAATTGTTAGCTAACTACAGATTAATATATTCAATTAGTTATTAAATTTAGATTATAATGAATTTTCGCACATCATTATCTTTATATATATACAGAATGTTTGTAAAATGGGTGCAAAGCCTGAAGAGGGAGAACTCCAGGTTTTTTCAACATTTCCTTATTTTTATTTTGTTTCTTAACCTTAAATATGCATAGAATGTTTTTCTGATGATGAAGATGTCTGGAATTTTTTTTAATTACACATTACATAAATAAAAACATAAGAACTGTTACTGCACACTATTATCAATTAATTGAAAAAAAAAGGGTTTTATTGTTAAAAACCTTAGAAATTCAATTTAGAAATAAGGAGCAAACTTCGTCTGAGACAAGTTTAGCTTAATATGTTCTAAATAGTGTAATGTATCATCCTCTTCAGGCTTTGCACCCCATCTTCCATCTGTATAATACTTTTGTTCGTGTGTATGTGACTGAACTCCTTTTAAACGTCTGCACCAATTTTAGTGATATTTAGTGTATGATTACGATGACGAGAATGGTTTAGATTTGCAAGTGCACCCGGTAGGTAGCATTGTTGTCGAGATCCAGAAATCACCCGTTAGAAGCCGGTGCGGATCGCGAGTAACACATTTAATATTAAAAATTCGTTCTCTTATTCATTAGAGCCATTATGATCGGCCCAACTCATGATCAAAAAACTAGACTGACGAGGCAGTCAATTGTTTCTGTGTGCCTAATAAGGAATATTTATAAAATGCAGTGCAGTGGCGCGATTCTGCAATTCCTGTAACATCTTAAACGTCCTGGACGACGTAGGAAACAGGGCGATACAAGGAAAATTCCTAGCGTGCATTTATTTTAATTTTAAACTGAAGTAACAAACGTAGTCCACCCCATGGTAAGTGACTACAGCAGTCCATGGACACATGCAGTCAACTTCAAACGAAGAAGCCTACAGATGCGTTATCACCTCTGAGGACTAAGATGGAATTCCTCATAGTCTGTAATTATACTGAGTAACTTTTTTCTGGGTTTCGATCGATATTAAATCGATAATAATTAATCGAATCGACCGATCTTAAAAAAGAAAATGAGAAGTATATTAAAAAATAGGTTGAATTTTAATTCAAGAACCATCTACTTACCGTCTGGGTCAACACTTGCATTGGATCCCCCTAGCTTATCAAGACTATTACCAGCTGAACGGGCAATACGTGTATCTTGGGGTTTTTCTGTGGCAGCGTATTCTTCTTTTCCCCTTTCTTCAGACTAACAGTAAAAAGATAGGGATTTTATCAAACGTCCAACTAATTATGATATAAATATTTGAAACATTATAACATAATTAATAAACAAAGTTAAAACAATATCTGTTGCCAATTACTCGCTTACGTTTCTAAGGAAAATGGAACATTAAACATATTGCAGAAACAACGATACGATGGAACTTATTACAAAAAAAAAATTGCCAACTATGTTACTTGTCTCTAGCATGTCATAAAAAGCGGCTAACGGGATATTTCGTTTGTTATCGTATAGGCGATGCTCGTATGATCGAGAATAGACGTAGATGTCTATGGGTTACAGCAGCCACTTACCATCAGGTGGTCTGTGGGCTTGTTTGTCACACTTATATTATTTAAAAAAAAAAACTATTTTTTCGCTAAACGTGGTGCGAGTAGCTCGCTGTGCTTTGTACTCAGCGTACCCCAATAGTGTATTAAGTAAGCGTGAAGCTGGTTTTGTATGTAAGAACAGTAACGTTTATTAAAGTTAAGGTTAGAAATAACAATAAGAATTAAATAATACAAAATACAAATACCAAAGAAAAAAGTAATTTGTTTATCTTAATAAAACAAGAATCATAATGTGCTAATGAGTTGTTTTATTATTTGAGTAGGTATAATATTTTTGGAATTTATATTTCTGACAGTGATATCGTTATAGTATATCAATACACGGGTGAAATTATTTGTAAGTAGGGTAAGCAGTATAATGATTGGCACTTTAAGCGGATTTGTAAGTGGTTAATTCTCGTAACAAATTTGTTATATTTTTTTATTGTTTTGTTGGATTTTAGTTTAGATAGCAATAAATAAAATAACGCATTACGTATAAAAAGAAATGTTTAATTAAGTTAAAAATCTAATTAAACTTTTTTCTAGGGAATGTTACAATCATTGGCACATTAGCATAGTGAATGGTACTGTAAATTAAGCATAATCATTGGCACCATTGGTAGTCTTAAAAAGTTATACCCAGATCTTTCTAAGCTCCATCTTATTGTTATAACACTTATTTTGAACAAATTATCTCCAAAAATTTTCCTTAGATCTTCATCTGAAAGCGGTTTCGTTTGTCTACCATGTTTTTTCTTTCTTCGTATACATTTTTGATGTGACTTTTTTAGTAAAACCTTTCGTATTTTCTCGATTATTTGTAGAAATAGAACGTCATTTCGGTATTTTAGATTAATCATTTAGAGAGTATTATAATGTCAGAGTTTTTGGCTTCGTTCTTCTTGTTTTGTTCGTCAGTTTGTTTCTATATTTGGCTGAGTAATTCAATTCTGCATTTTCCATTTGTGCCCCATTTTTCCATTATTTTTTTTAGCTCCGCTGCTTTTTTTATAGGATCGGGTGACAAACGAGCACACAGTCCACCTGATGGTAAGTGGTTACTGTGACCCATAGACATCTACATCTATCCTCAATAAAGACTCAAGATGCAGATGCGTTGTCACCCGCGAGGACTAAGATGGAATGCCTCTTTGCCAGTAAAAAGGGTCTCCGGTTCTCTACACTCACCATACGAAACACAGCAGCGTTAAGTTGCTATTTTACGCTGGTTTTCTGTGAGAGCGCGGTCCTTCCCCGTTCGAGCCGACCCATTCGTGCT